AATCCAATAAAGGAAAGGGATGGAAATATGGCATAGTTTTAGATGTAAATAAATTTAAATAGTTCAATAAAGGAAAGGGATGGAAATATAGCAAAGTTTTAGATGTAAAATCAAGCCAATTTTCAAAGCTGGCATAGGCAAAACTTGCCTGGACATTAAGAATTTAAATATGCTATCTCTGGAGCAGGAGGTAGTGTTTTAAATTTCTTAGGCTTGTTCTTGAAAAGCTTAGGAGGCAGACATTGGCTTTCCAACATGAATATTTCAGCAGTTAAAAGCTCCCTCACTTGGCCTTAATCTATAATTGCTCTGTGTGTTTGTGTACAAGTGGGAGACACCATCTCAAATAGAATTGTTTTAAACTAGGAAAAATAAAAGGGAAATTAAAAGTAAAATTAACAAAACACACCAAAAGGAAAACAAAACTCTTTTCAATAGAGCCAGAAAGCAGGGCCCTGAAGTTGGAAAAGAGATAGGAGAGAGACAAAAAGAGAGAGAGGTATAGAAGAAGAAGGACTTCTATGTTATTTTGTTTAAAGATTCTGAAGAGGGAGAATTGTTCAGAACTGGCACACTCACTCTGTTTTTAGAAGGGGTCTTTCTGAACTATCTTGCACTGTGACTAACCTCCTGCTCTTAGCCATTCTGGTGTGTGAGATTGATAGCAGAGAAACAGAGCAATGGGAAATCAAGAGTAGGGCAGCTCTATCAATCTTTCTAGACAGGAGCTTCTGAAACAGCACCCTTGAAAGGCTCGTGATGTATGAATTGAACTTCTTGGAATCTTCCTCCCACAAGAAAAATGTATGAGTCTTTGTAGCTAAAGAATGATAGCCTCCTCATAGCCGATGTTCTGAAACTTTGATTCAGTCCACAGGATCTGATTTCTGCTTCCTGTTACTTCTTGTGGTCTGTATATGTGTGTGTAGCTGAGTGTATCTATTTGTGTTCTTTTGTAGCTGGCAAAATAGTAGTTTTTTCCCCTTAGGTTGTCCTTAGAAATAGTATGCTTCATGCTTATGTTAAATTATATATATTTAACATATGTATATAATTAACATATATATATATAAAATTTATGCATTATATATCTGTTAAGCATGGTTCATGCTTAACACACACACACACACACACACACATATAATGCTTAAATTATTTAAAGCGTATATATATAATTTAAAAAACTAAACTCTCTGACACAGTGAAATGAATAAAGTAAACAGTATTAGTAACAAATCAGGCATTATTTCAACTATGCTTACCACCATGGTTTCCAAAGTCATCAATACATTTTGAAATAAGTGGGCATTGATGTCAAAATAACTTCTAGGGAGTAGTGAAATTTTCTGACTATTTAGCCCAGGACATTAACCATATAAAGGCAAAATTACTTCTAAGGAACAATAAATATGAGATGTGTTCTTAATTATAAGCAATATTTTCAGCCTTTGCTGAATCCCAATCTTGTTTTGGTGTTTCACTAAGTTCAGAATTTGTTAAAACTACTCAACCTTATGATATAAAAATAGACTTTTTGACTGAGGGCAGCAGTTTTGACTCTCATCTAGTTGGTAAAAGAGCATCGTGGTCAGAGGATATTGGGCTCTCAAAACTGACAGAAGATCATTCCAAATGTTGATGGACATCTGTCTTAAAATTGCTGTTTCACATGGATTGGGCACAGTTCCAGCACTTCATAAAAAATATCCTTGACTTCTCAAGAAACTTCTTTCCGGTTTTACCATATGGGAACTGTTTTCTTTAGAAATGAAGATGACAGAGGGCTCTCTCATCACTTTTCCTTATGAAACATATTTCTAGTTCCTAAAGAGTGCTACTTGTTTCTTTGCTGTTAAGTATGTGTAGTTGAAACCACTAATAATTAACCCAGAACATTCGGAAAATGAAGCAACCAGTAATTGTGACTGAGGCTAATATTGATTAAAATCAATGTGCAATTTTGATAATTTTTCTGAGTTTTTCATTTTTATGTTAGACAAAAAAATAACATCAACTATTAATATATGAGAGAATATACAAAAATTGTAGCACAAGATCCTTGGTCTGAAAATTGAGTTTATTTAAAAATATGTTGGATGTGCATTATTCTCACTAATTTGTTTATGATATGTAACATTTTGATTAAAAATTAAACATCCCATCAAATTTGAAAAGTAAAGGCTATATAAATGATAAAACTGATGCAAATATTTGTTTTATTTCTGTTTTGATCAAATTGACACAATCATGCAAATTTTATCAAAATTAGATTTCATGAATGTGTTCCTTTAAAGAGAGTAATTTATTTGAAATTAATCTGCTCATTCTTTGCCTCTTTGTGTTGTTTAATTAATTACAATTGGAGCCAAGGAGTGGAACTCCATTATTGCAACTTATTACTTTTTTCTTCTGAGGATTAACTTATTTTCTTTTTAAAGTTTATTTCAATTGCATTTTGGATGTAGAGAAACTTACATGAAAGCAGTGAAGTTGAGTCCAAACCAAATTTCTACAAAAATAAATTTTATGAAAAGAACAATTTAGAAAGAAGTTCCAGAAACTTAACAAACAATAAACAATTGAAAGAACATTAACATCATCAGAAAAAAAGGCTACAAAGGGGTTTCTCTGATCAAGATACTTTAAATGCAAGACTATTTTAATTTCATTTTCAATATTTTGTCTGCATTGTATTTTTTTTCTTCCTCTTCCTTTAGTGAACAGCCCTATCAGTTCTACTCAAGTACTTGAAATAAATTTCTTAGTAGGTAAAGAAATAGAGGACACCAAAGCAAGTAAGAAAACAAATCAAACCCAAACTGATATCTAAAGTGACCAAACAATGTAGGTAAATAGAAAAATATTTCTTATTCTTGAAGTCCTAAAAAATCTATTTAAAAATTGTGTAATAAATAAGAAACACTGAAGCACATTGAATTAAGTATAGAGCAACATTAAAAAGTAATATTTTTAGCATGCTGAATGAAGGTGTTGTATTATCCTGACATTATAGAGTATCTCCAAATTTCTATTCAGCAATTAACAGTCAATAGCAGAGGTTGGCAGGCTATAGCTTGTGAGTCTGCCACCTGTTTTATAAATAAAGTTTTATTGGAACACATCCATATCCATTCATCTATGTATTGTTCAGGTGTGTTTCATACTACAAGAGGAGAGTTGATTCGTTGTGATAGAGATCCACAGAGCTGAAAATACTTACTCTCTGATGTTTTGCACGAAAAAAAGTTTTTCAAACCCTGATCTATACAAATCAAGATAAATTTAAGCTATTTTAAATGACATGATTGAAACAATTTTACTAATTAAAAGGGTGAAGATAACTTATAGAAGTCTGAGATAAGCAATAGGGTATGATGACACTTACCTCTACAATTGTAGGGTTCATAGAAAAATCAGTTTTTCTGCAAGAACAGAAGGAATATGACACATTATCTATTTGGATTTAGAAGGAAAAAGAATGCATTCTAAAAATACATCTATGTTATCTAACATAGATATGTTATCTAGCAAATAGATGAATATATCTATTTGTTAAGGTAAGCTAATTGCTGCAGCAAACAACTAAAATTTGAGGGATATCACATTATTATCATTACTATTACCTTTTCATTCTGGTAACAATCTGTAAAGTGGTTTTTTTTTTGGGGGGGGTGCTCTTCTGGGCCATTATTCTTTGAGCCATGCTCAGAAAACCTTGGCTCCTTATACTTTGCTGTTACTATTTTCTTCTGGGTCCCTGAAGCTTTCTTCATTTAATATTGTAACAGGGAAACAGATGGAGGATAGTGAATGAGAAGGTTCCATGGGCTGTATTTGAAAGTTCAGTTCATCATTTCCACCCAAATTCTATTGTCCAGATCTTAATCATATGGCTTTTACATAATTGCAAGGATATGTTGTCTTGCTGTGTGCTTCAGTAGATTAGGGAATTCATTTGATTCATTAGTTTTTGCATTAAGTGCTTGTGTCCACATGCAAACATGCACACACAGACACATATGCACTCATGCAAAGACACACATATGCACAAATACAAACACACACTTTGTAATATAGAGGAAGCAGTTTTGTAATTCTCATTTATAAATAGCAGTTAATTGTTATTGCTAGTAGAACAGTCTAGTTTTACAATCTAATTGAGTAATACTGTGGTAATTGTTCAAATTCATGGATTCAAATAGCATCAAATGTGTTTATAGAACAGATTTTTCTTATAACATCAAAGTCATAATAACTTACATATATACTATATACATAGTATATATATGCATATATATATAAAATAAAATTGAGTACTTGGATGTCACAAAAAAATAAAAGTAAATATTCTTTAACTATTCTAAGAAATTATTAAGAAACATAAATGTTTCAGTATAAAGCTGAGCAAAATATATAAAGTTATTAGTAACCTCCAAAGTCTAGAAAGCAGTGCTGCTCAAATGAAATATTATGGAAGCCACATAGGTAATTTAAAATTTTCTAGCCACATTAAAATAATAAAAAAGAAACAGGTGAATTCAATTTAATAATATATATATTTAATTCACTGTATCCCTAATACTATAATTTCAATATGTAAGCAATATAAAATTATTAATATGTTTTCCTTTTTATTCACAACAAGTCTTCAAATTCTGGGGTTTATTTTATGCTTTGAGCATGAAACTAGCCGTATTTTGAGGACTCAGTAGCCACAGGCAGCTGTGCCTATCACAGAGGACAGCACATTCTTACATTATTGACTCTCACACTTCAGGGAGTCTAAAAGTCAACTGGGAGAAATTGTTAAAAGAATAGACTGTAGCTTTTTAATTAAAGAGTCTGATTCAGTAGGTCAGGGTGGGGTCCAGGAATCTACATTTTAACAAATAGTCTCATGACTTTTATGCAGGGTATCAGGAGACCACGCTTGATAAAAGGCTGCTATAGAAATCTGTAAGGTCTCTTCTAACACTAACTTTATAGCTCTATGACTTGCTCCCGCTGATTCTGCTCCTGGGTTAACAATCAAGATGGTACATGCTGAAGCCTTTTCTCGTCCTTTGAGTCGGAATGAAGTTGTTGGTTTAATTTTCCGTTTGACAATATTTGGTGCAGTAACATACTTTACTATCAAATGGATGGTAGATGCAATTGATCCGACCAGAAAGCAAAAAGTAGAAGCTCAGAAACAGGCAGAAAAACTAATGAAGCAAATTGGTGTGAAAAATGTGAAGCTCTCAGAACATGAAATGATTATTGCTGCTCATCTAGTAGACCCTCTGAATATGCATGTTACTTGGAGTGATATAGCAGGTTTAGATGATGTCATCTAGTAGACCCTCTGAATATGCACGTTACTTGGAGTGATATAGCAGGTTTAGATGATGTCATTACAGATCTGAAAGACACAGTCATCTTACCTATCAAAAAGAAACATTTGTTTGGGAATTCCAGGCTTCTGCAGCCTCCAAAAGGTGTTCTTCTCTATGGGCCTCCAGGCTGTGGTAAAACGTTGATTGCCAAGGCCACAGCCAAAGAAGCAGGCTGTTGATTTATTAACCTTCAGCCTTCAACACTGACTGATAAGTGGTATGGAGAATCTCAAAAATTGGCTGCTGCTGTCTTCTCCCTTGCCATAAAGCTACAACCATCCATCATCTTTATAGATGAAATAGACTCCTTTCTACGAAACCGTTCAAGTTCTGACCATGAAGCTACAGCCATGATGAAAGCTCAGTTTATGAGTCTCTGGGATGGATTGGATATTGATCACAGCTGCCAGGTCATAGTAATGGGAGCTACCAATCGTCCTCAGGACCCTGACTCGGCTATAATGAGAAGAATGCCTACAAGATTTCATATCAACCAGCCTGCTTTAAAACAGAGAGAAGCAATCCTGAAACTCATCTTGAAAAATGAAAATGTGGACAGGCATGTAGACCCACTGGAAGTTGCCCAGGAAACAGATGGGTTTTCAGGAAGTGACCTAAAAGAGATGTGTCGAGATGCTGCCCTCCTCTGTGTTAGGGAATATGTTAATTCTACAGCAGAAGAAAGCCACGGTGAAGATGAAATCCAGCCTGTTCAACAGCAGGACCTGCATCGGGCAATTGAAAAGATGAAGAAATCAAAGGATGCAGCATTTCAGAATGCTTTAACACATGTTTGTTTAGATTAAGAGTAAAGATCATTTGTACAGTTCAAAAAAAAAAAAAAACTTTGTAGCTCTTTATAGTGTTATAACTTTATAACACTAACTTTATACCTTCATTTCTAAGGATTTCAGTGTGTAGTGTTTATAATAACATATTATTCTATAGAAAATTTGTTTAGAGGCACAGATTGAATTTTAAATTATTGAAGATTTTGAACAAAGCTGCAGGGCAAGTTAAAGATAACTGGGACCATCTTTGTTCCAGTTCACACTCTTCCCCACTGAGTAAAGGAACAGACGGAGGAGAGGCACCTTCAGTGTCACTGAGAAAAAAAATACTTTCTTTATTGCCAGATATGAAGAAGCCCCTTCATTTAGATAAAAAGAATTTGGGATTTCAGAAAATAAATGAAATCCATATGTAGTAGATCTCAGCTTTAATTTTCTGACATTTTAAATCATTGGCAATGTATGGTTTATATTTACTGTTTTATTACCTTTTTCTATTGTGAATTTCCCTTCAACCTTCAACCTCATATGCTTTCCTATCAACTTTACCAGATGTCTCTTTCTGTCTGATACTGTACTTGTCTGAAACAGAAATGACTACTATTGAGAGAGTACCATATTTTTGTATACAAATTATTCAGACATATTTTTATATATATGTATATACACATGGTTTTTAACATTTAAAAATGTCAAATCTCTCAAAATATTTCATGTATATTAGCAGCAGTTTCTGCTTTACAAATAAATGATAGTTTTTCATTATTTTCCAATTTAATGAGGTTTATTTCATTCACTTATTACATCAATGAATTATTTTCTTCTAATATCAAGAAGACCAATAACTTCTTAGAATGTAAACATCCCTTCTGTAAGAGAACAAGGATAAGAGAAAATACATATTTCTTCAAGGATTCTTGCCTCCTTTGCTGAAAATCCAAACCGATCTTCTCCACATTTAATCATGGTCTAATGTGTTTCCAAGCTATTCTTTTCAAAGATGTGTACTTTTAAGTGAGGTATGAAATGACCTAACCTTATCAAAAGAGATGTTGGGATGTACCTTCTGTGGAGTACAAAATGTTGAAGACATTTTGTAAAATTGTTTGATTACTTTGGGAGAAAAGATGATCTATATTTCATTTATCTCCTCAAATTACTTACAGAGTGAAGGCTTGCTTTGGAATGCCAACTTTAATAACTTATTAGATCTAATTTTTTAATGTAAATTGAACATATTCTTGATGCAAAAAAATGCCATACATTTTACTAAGAATACAATGAATGCATATACCCTAGAACCTAAAATGCAATTATATATATATATATATATATATATATAAAGAATGCAATGAACTGTAAAACTTGATCTCTATCTCCAAGATTATTTCAGCTGTGTTCATATACATTTTACCTTTTAGATCAAATATTGTAAAATAGATATTATTATTCTTCCAATCTTATAGACTGAGCTAAACCCCGTGTAACACAGCTCCCAAGTGTTAAAATTCGGTTTTAACCTTCTATCAACAGTAACTCTAGAACATTTTCTACTACATCTGGTGACGATAGGAAAAGAAGGCAGTATTAAAAACAGAATGGATATAATTTCAATGAACATTATTAAAAGTTTTATGATGCTTATCTTAATTCCTTCCATTATGTGGCAAATGTAATATCCCAGATGGTTTTTGTAAAATTAGAGAAATCTTGTTTGAACAGCATTGTTGAGAAAATGAGACTGCTGAAGATTTTAGAGAATAGAACCAAACTTATCATTATTTTTCTTTGAAGATATATGATAAATTACCTATCTTTAAATTCTCATGTAGTCATTTTTTATATCAGAAATATATTTAATATCATACTGTTAAGCCATCACACACTGAACAGTTGAAAATTGGTGTAATTTAGTTCATGTAGGAAGCTGTTAAGACCCTTAAAGCAAAAATTTTTAAACTGAAAATCTTCCCTGGACTATTAAAAGTATCAATTGTTTTATAGTCTGACAGATTGGAGTTAAACTATAGTTAATAACATGCTTTTAATTAAAAAAAAGACATAAAGTACTGTACTTTCTTTCCTACCTTTTCATGTTAGCAGGAAACAATTTTCCAGTTCCTTTCAGTATCCAACTGCCAAGAAAAAAAAAGATTAGAAACAAATTCTCAAAATCGACAATATTTACTACAATTAGATTTTAGGGAATACATTACAGAGACAGATTTTACATGTTATAAATTTTTCAAACATTAATGGTGAGTAATTAACCTTTACTGGTATGTATATGTATGTTGCACTCTTACGCAGCTAATCTTTCTTTAGCCCCTTTACTTTAGGTAGTTACTCTAGGACTGGAGATAAATAAATTAATAAAGATTGCTACTTAAAGAATAATGACTAAAGGGTTGATAATGGGAGGTAAAGTCAAGATTAAGATGTGTACTGGCATAAATATTCCTTTTTTCCTATGTTTCTCCAACTTCATTGCAGACCTTTCTCTCTGTACTCTGAACATAAAGTCTTTGAACTGACTTCTTTTCTCTGCTAGAAAACTTCCCATCCCCTTGTTTTTCCTACTGATAGCTGATCTGTAACATCTCTAAGAGGCAATTTCTTATCTCTTCAACGAATCAATTCTCTGGGATATTTTTTTTCCTAGGGTCATATATCTTTGCTTAGAAGTAGTTATCAGTAGTTTAATTTTCTTTTTAGCTGTGTGATTAAAGGCATACCTCATTTAATTGCACATCACTTTATTAAGCATTGCAGATACTGTTTGTTTGTTTTTTTAACAAATTGAAGGTTTATGGCAACGCTGCATCTAACAAGTCTATCAGCACCATTTTTTTTAACAGCATGTCTTGGTTCATGTCTCTGTGTCACAGTTTCTAATTCTTGCAACTTTTCAAATTTATTGTTAGTATTATATCTATTATGGTGATCTGTGATCAGCCATCTTTGATGTTACTATTGTAATTGTTTTGAGGTCTTGATAAAACCTTGAATGTTCTTGATAGAAGACTCAACCAGTCACTATATTCCCTTAAACTGAAGCCTAATCCAGAGGAAGGCCCCAACTGTCTTTAATTCTTTGAAGGCTGAGAGAGGTGAGGAAGTTACAGAAGAAAAGTTTCAAGACAGCAGAGGCTGGTTCATGAGGTTTTAAGAAAGAAACCACTTCCATAACACGAAAGTATAAGGTGAGACAGCAAGTGCTGACGCAGAAGCTGCAGCATGTTATCCAGAAGATCTAGCTAAGGTCATTGATGAAGTTGGCTACATTAAATAGATTTTCCATGTAGAGAAAGCAGCCTTGTATTGGAATATTGAAAGAAGATGCCCTCTAGGACTTTCATAGCTAGAGAAGTGAGCTCAATGCTTTGCTTCAAATCTTCAAAAGACAGGCTGATTTTTTTGTTAGGGAATAATGCAGCTGGTGACTTTACTTTAAAGCCAATGTTCACTGACCATTCTGAAATTCCTAGGCCCCTTAAGAATTATGCAAAATCTACTCCATATATGCTCTATAAATAGGACAACAAAATCTGGATGACAACATACCTGTTCACAGCATGGTTTACTGAATATTTTAAGTCCAGTGTTGAAGCCTTTTGCTTACAAAAGATATTCTTTTCGAAATATGACTGCTCATAGACAATGTATCTAGTCACTCATGAGCTCTTTTGGAGATGTACGAGGAGCTCAATGTTGTCTTCATGCCTGCTAGCACAACATCTATTCTGCAGGCCAGGAGCAAGGAGTAATTTCAACTTTCAGGTTTTATTATTTAAGAAATAAATTTCATAAAGTTATAGCTGTTTTATTGTTCTATTACATTATTCTCATTTCTCTGATGAGTCCAGGGAAAATCAAATGAAAATCTCTGAAAAAGATAAACTATTCTAGATGCCATTCAGAACATACATGAACCATGGGAGGAGGTTAAAATGTCAATATTAATGGGAGTTTTGAAGAAGTTGATTTCAAACTTCACAGATGACTTTGAGGGATTCAAAACTTTAGCAGAGGAAGAAACTGCCAATGTGGTATAGAAACAGCAAGAGAACTAGAATTAGAAGTGGATCATGAAGATTTAACGGAATTGTTTCAATCTCAGGATAAAACTGGAGCAGATGAAGAGTTGCTTCTTAAGGATAACCAAAGAAAGTGGTTCCTTGAGATGGAAACTACTTTTGGTGAGGATACTATGAACGTTGTTCAGGTGGCGGCAAAGAATTTAGAATATTCCATAAACTTAGTTGATAAAGCAGAGGCAAAATTTGAGAGGATTGACTCCAATTTTTAAAGACATTCTACTGTGGATAAAATTCTATCACACAGCATTGCATATTACAGGAAAATATTTCATGCAAGGAAAAGTAAATGGATATGGCAAACTTCACTGTTATCTTATTTTAAGTACCTGCCACAGCGACCCCAACCTTGAGCAGCCACCACCCTGATCAGTCAGTAGCCATCAACATCAAGACAAGACCCTCTGTCACCAAAGAGATTAGGATCTGAATAATCATTAGCAGTTTTTGCAATAAAGTATTTTTATGTAAAGTATGTACATTGCTGTTTTAGACACAAAGCTACTGCATACTTACTAGACTGCAGAATAGTATGAACATAACTTTTATATGCACTGTGAAATCAAGAAATGTATGTGACTCACTTTATTGCAATATTCAGTTTATTGTGAAGGTATGGGACAAAACTCTCAACATCATTGAGCTGTGCCTTTGTTTAATTTGCTTCTATTTTCTCTATGGCATAAGCCACATAAAGGCATGGTTGGTATTTATCTGGTTAGACAGTGGTTGCCTATTGTTTATTGAACTGGCTAACAAATATCTGCCTAGGTTAAGATAGTACCTAGATTCTTTTATCTCTCCATTGAGCTCCTCGGCTTTTCCTTCAGTTGTTTATTTATTCCTTAGTTTTGTCACAGCCAAATCAGTCTTTGCACTGGATTCAGGCTTCTAGTTCCACTTTGATTTAAAAAATATCTATTTAATTCAAAGGATCTAGTTTTG